TATGAAAAATATGTACGCGGTCTAAATTAATATGTATATGTTACTGAAAATATTATTACACTAAAAACATAGAAAAAACAATTTTTATTATATATAAGTACATATATATTACTTAAAAATATGTGAATAGAAATTATTAGTGTTCATTGTTTTTATATAATAATGAAAATGCATTATGTTTATTCTTATAATATTTGTATTACATTATGTATAATTTTGTGTATAAATAATGATTAATCTGAATCTTTTTACTATTAATTAGTAAAAGATGTATATATATATTAAATATAAACACTATATTACATTAATTCCTGTTACACATAATGTTTTATTTAAATTTATTTTCAGTTCATAACAATTCAAGAATTCTTCATTATTATGCTAATTTATAAATATCGTTTAAAGTATACACATTGAAACACAAATATAATTCTAGAACAATTCACCCTCATTCCTTTATTGCATAATCTTTTAATATATATAATGTATAACATGTAAATAATAATTAAAAACCTATACATAATTATAATGTTAATTTCATTATTTAAAAAAGTAAAACTCATTAAATTTTTTAAATAAAGTGTGTAATAATATATATTTATATAATAATTCTGAAATAAATTATTTGATTTTATTACATCACAATTTTTTATTGTATTAACTCTGTGCTTAATAGTATAACTATAGCTTTCGTCAATTATTATTAAAATAATCTATTCTTGTTTCAAAAATATTACATAAATTAACGTAGGAATATTTTTCTCCTTTATTTTTTAGAACTATATATTATTTACATTATTCTATGATTTAATTAATAACATTAAATATACAACGTTATTCGTTCATTCACCTTAAATTTCTGTTTTAATAATAATTCCATTTAATGCTGTATTATCATTATTTCATTTATTTATGATGAAACATATATTGCCTTACACTAAGCTTGTTAAAGGAGTAATTCAATTTTGAACCTGGGATAATAGAATATCTAAAATATGTATTTATATTTTAAATCGATTTAATATTTATTACTTACTCTTAACTTTCATTGAATTTTCATACCAATGTGTAAAAACAATAATGAATTATATAGTGTTATGTTATAAAGATTATGATTAAATTTGAATTCCTACAAAATTTAATTGTTTAGCAATTTTTCAGAGAGCTTCGTAAATAAAGTAGAATGCAATTTTGCTTAATTTACATAATAAACACATAATATTAGATAGTGATATTTTATAACACTATCGTTGTATATTGTACATAATTGTTAATAAATTGTATATAATATAAAAATTTATATTTATTTGAGTGAGATTGTAGCTGATAAAATTTTCCAATATTTTTTATAGAGTACAAGTGTTATCCATCATTATATTTTATCAAGATGTCCGGAAATATTAATTTATATAATGTCTTAAATATATAGACAACAATGAAACATCATCATATTAATAAAATACACTTATGTGTTTTATATAATGACAGACAAAGGAAAAAAACTTACATGTACGTTAATATAAGTCAATGTATTTATATTACAAAAAGAATACACTAATTCGCACTTAATCATGCCATAATATATAGTTAAAACATTAAATAATAACTTTTTCTTAGAATATGTGTATTATATAATAACATATAAATAATTAAGACTAAAAAAAACACTCTAATATATTATATTTATATCTATAGAAAAAAGAATATACCTTATGCTTTATATATTTTTAGAATAAAATATAA